GGTTTAGGGCTTAGGATTTAAGGCTTCGACCCTTATTAGATTCGTAGAGGTTTGGGTGTTCAGAGATTCCGGGTCGGGCTTTGAGGCCCGGAGTTTCTCGTTCCACTCGCCGGTTGCTCCGAGTCTTGCGGGCTTGTGAGAGAGAGCCCAGCCCCGACATCCGAAAGCCTCAAGCCGACATGCGGCTTCGGGTTTCATTTAGGGTTGAGGGTTTAGGGTTTAGCAGGTTCGTTTAGGGTTTACGGTTTAGGTTCCATGGTTTCCCAAAGCCCAAATCGCCAATACTCGAAACTCCAAAGAGCCCTGAACCCTAAACCCCTCAAACGCCGCTGTGGATCAGGGCAATACCTCTCTGTTGCCAGCGACGTCGTCCAGGCGGGCGAGGGGTCAGGGTAAGCTGGGCATTCTCGGGTTTCCGGGTTGGGCTTTTCCACCCAATCCTCAGCCCGCGCCGTTCGGATAAGTGTCAGCCCTAAACCCTCGAAAATCTATCAGCCCTTGGCCCTAGGGCTTTTGGGCCTGGGGGAAATTTTAGGTTTGGAGGGTTCAGGTTTTAGATTTCAAACTCAGCTTAGACGTCTCGGGTGAAAATCTAAAGCCTCAAGACCTCGGAGCCCTAAGCCCAAAACTTGCAACCCTCAAGGAACCCCCCCTCGAAACTCAAAAGATCAGGAAGTCCTGATACAATGCGATTCGTGGAGGCCAGCGTTATAGAGCAGATACCGGAACAGTGCGAAAGGTCGGGGTCACACATGTGCGTTACATCGTTTCGCAGTTTGTTCAAATTAGTATAGTCATGCTACTTCAACTCCCCGAACTTCGTTTAATCTCGCAAGTTCGCGGGAAGCCGACCGACGCTCATGAGTTCAATCAATGCCTAAACCCACAAAACGCAAAGCCCGAAGCTCTTAAAACCTCTATACTCTCTAAGTCTACCCCCTGACCCCCTCCTTGTGGCTCCTCAGATCTACAATTGGGCATCCAAGTCGAGCATGGCGGAGGCCGTCACGCTAAAGGACCGGAAGTGTTTTCTTAATCTTAGGGTTTAGGGTTTAAGGTTTAGGGTTTAAGGTTTAGGGTTTAGGGTTTAAGGTTTAGGGTTTAGGGGTTTAGGGTCACCCTGAACCCTCAACTGCATGATTAGAATCTGGAGGCGAGCTGTGAGTTCTCGATTCGGATCAGCACTGGTCTTTCGGGCTCGTGCTTGGGGTCGTGAGTGCTCTCAGCCCCAAAACCCTGGCCTAAACCCCAACCCCAAACCCCCAAACCCCAACCACAAACACCAAACCTTAAAACCCAAAATATAATCGAACAGAATACTTTCGAGTATATATAGATACAATACCACATAGACAAGATAGTACAATTTAGTACAGTATGATACAATAGAAAATAATAAAACTTAATATAGTATAATGCAATAGCCATGTAATACACTAAGGTATAGTACAACAGCACATCATATACAATCATATATGACACGGGGTTACAGTGCATCAATATAGTATAATATAATGGATTGGAGAACGCAGAAAACATGCAAGGAACATAGTGTATAATACAAAATTAACATAGTACAACAGAGCACAGTAGAAATTGGAGCACATCATTTGCGATGCAATATGTACAGGTATCACACAACATAAAACGTTCCATATATACTTCATAGTATATAGTATATAGTAATCTTTAACGTAGTAAGGGGGGTGGACCCTGCCGCAGGACCATGGTGCAGCTGTGCTCGGCGTCTGCTCCTTCGGTGCACTCTGAGCATTCCTCGAAGTACTATCCGGATCCGACTGGTTCGATTGAAAGAGGGGACGTAGCTCCTATTGCGCAAAAGCCCCCTAGTCTCTGCCCTCCGAAAGCTCCAGCCTCCCTGCTCAAGACCCTAGCCAAGCCTATACTCCTCAGCCGAAAGGGGTTGAGAAGCCCGCGGCGTAAACCTCGAAACAGCCTGAACTTCTCTGAACCCTAGGCACTAAACCTCAAGCCCTGGACCCTGCACCATGAAACTAGCCTTGAATCAGCTAAACCCTAAACCCTAAACCCTAAACCCTAAACCCTAAACCCTAAACCCTAAACTGTAGGCTTCAGCCAGCATGCCATGTCCCTGGCCTCGGTGTGCCCTGGCATCAAGAAGAGGTCAGAGGTCGGGGGTGTGGGGTTTAGGGGTTCAGGGTTGCAGGGCTTACAGGGTTCAAGGTTTAGGGTTTAGGGTTTAGGGTTTAGGGTTTAGGGTTTAGGGGTTCAAGGTTTAGGTTTTTTCTTGCTGTAGGGGTCAAGGTTTGGGGGTGTGCTAGCTGCATGGGGATTCCAATGATTAGAAGGCCTTGTGGATTTTTGTTTGGGATCTTAACACTACAAGCCCTAAGCACCCAGCCGAAACCCCAACCCCCAAACCCCCAAAACCCGAGCCGAAACCCTAAACC